TGCTTGGAGATCAACAAGGCTAAGGACGAGTTGCAAGAAATCTCTTCCGAAGTCATGATTGAAGACTCCTTGATGGTTAACTTGGCTGCTCAGATGAGGGAACTTCAAGCCAAAATGGACGATTGCAGAGCGAGGATGGCCGCTAAAAAGCGCAACGCCTCTCAGGGAATTGAGCGAACCAAATTCTTGGTCGAACAGTATAAGAAGCTGGAGGTTGATGATGATGACGTTGGGCTGAATTGAACATCACTTCCTCCCGACAGAACGAGGATTGGGAAAAACTTAGGGAACGAATTCGTTCCTTATGGGGTAGTTTGTAATTAAGACACACGATGTCTTTTCTTTTTTGTACTTTTGTCCCTTATTAATGGACATTAATTTCTTGTGCATTTATTTGATGTTTATTTTCTAATCATCAATTCTTCAAGCATTTAACTACTTTGCATTAAGAATTTTGTCCGTTCCCTTTTGATATTCCCATTACTGTTCCCGAGACTTAGGGCCATTTAATTCCATCTATTAGACAGAAATGTGGCTGTTCATATTCTGTCTCTTCATCTTCACCCCCTTATAAATATTTAGCATTTTTCATCCTCTATCTTCATCTCCTCATTTTCTTATTCGAAACCAATTTGCTGCCATTTCTTGGCATTCTGACGATCTATCTGATCCGAAAATGGACTGTTTAGTCCGTCCGCCTTATATTTACTTTGATGTCACCTTTGGTATGGGAGGTATAGGAAATGTTCTCTGGCCCGCAGCGAAGTTTTTTCCTGCAAAGTTTTTCCCATCGTCTCTTTGTTCTTCATAAGGAGTCAATGATGGAAGGTAATTTTTGGGCTGCTCATGGGCCATTTTGCTTGCTGAGAGTGCTTCTCAGCTTGCTTGCTGAGAGTGTTTCTCAGCCTATTTGCTCGTTATTGCAGCGATGCATTTAGGAAGGTGGTGAGGCCAGTATACCCTCTCACTCGTCAATTCCACCGCTCTTGGTCGAGCATCTGGCTGATGAACGTTGGGTGATCTTCTCCTTCATTGCCAATGTTTACTTTGATCAGAGGGTCTTGTGCTTGAGCGTATCCAGGTTTGGCAATCCGCATCACTTCGTCGTCCAGTTCTCTTGTAAGTACTTCCTCTTCCAAACAGTCCACTTTGTTGACTTCTCGGCCAAGGCTTTGCTCTAACTCGAATACTGCCAACTTGTCCTTCAACGCTTTTAGGGCAGTCTCTTCCTTTGCTTTGTCATTGCATTCCTTATTAAAAACCATCAGTCTGGCTTTGAAGGCCTGAATATCGGCCATTTGCTTTTGCAATTCAGAATCCATTCAAAATTCCTTGATTATTCTTTTGCCAATCACTGGCTCTCCTAAGGCCACTATGTTTGGCCTCATCTGTTCGAACATCTCAGCGAGTGCGTCCACTGAGAATGGTTCTTCGCTCTGTGTGACAACTTGAGTTTCTTCCCCGTCTTGTACTACTCTAACAGGTCCATAGTTTCCTTCATACATAAACTTTTCCACTAAGTTTGCTTCTGCGACAAAAGGCCTATGATCGGCCTGCACCACTTCTGCTTTGCCTTTGTCATTCCAAAAAATAGGCATTGATGGAGCGACGAGGGTATACATCGACTTCCGTGTATCCAATCCCTTCCTAAGAGCACGTTGTAACTAGTAGGACCATCTATTACAAAGAAGACAGCGGTCCTAGTAGTCGTACCTATAGTTATGTCCAATGGCATAACTCCCTTAGCTGAAGTTACTCCTCCATTGAAGCTGGTGAGGATGACCTCTGTAGGAATCATATCACCCTCTGTTTTTGCAAGCTTTCTCATCATTCTGGATGGAATACTGTTTATAGCTGCTCCATTGTCGACAAGCACTTTTGACACTGGGACGCCGTTAACTAGAGCTTTAACATATAATGGCCTCAGGTGTTTTGTCAACTTCATGGCTGGCCGTTTAAAAACAACATTTTCGGCAGCCTCTATTTCTACCTCTTGCTTGTTTTCTGCCGAATTATCCCCTTGTGATAGGTCGACGTGTAGTATGTCACGCTGATCCTCTGTCTCCTGAATCTCCTTCTTGCTTTTTTCTAATGCTTCCTCATCGGTTATCCAACCTGTGGAAGGAGGCATTATTTTTTCTTCCTTATCAATCATCCAACCTGTGGGAGGAGGCATTTTTTTGGAGGTGACCCATACTTCTCAGAGCGAGGCACTCTCTTCTTTCTTTTGGGTGTTCCGTACAGTACGTAGAGATCGAAAGGACGCCCAGATGGCTCCCCCAATAAGTCTACTTCGCGGACTCCCTCTTGATGTAGTTGCTTAAACAGAGTATTGCGTGATACTTCTCTCTTTTTCCTTTCTGCTTCTAGATCAATTTCTTCTTCAATGTCTGTCATCCCATCGTCCTCTTCATCGTTGCAGGCCCCTCCAGAAGTCTGGCCTTCTTCACACACTAGCACGCAGGCTTCTCCTTCGTTGTCCTCCCTCTCTTCTTCTTTTTCCTTATTTTTGAACTCATTGGCCAGTAAGTAATTATTGGCCATGACGGGAGGCAACGTACCGAATTGGATAGCAAGAGGCTCATCTGGATCTTCTTCATCCTTTTTATCTCTCTCAAACCTTGATCTCCCAGAAGAGGTCTCTGGCAGTTCTTTCATTGATTCATCTGTACCAGTTTCTTTATTACTCTTTAGTACGTTTTGATTGGCTACTTTGAGTAGTAGAGGTGCTTTAGGGTGTGGCATTCCTTGTTGCTGCCTCATCATCCGTCCGTAATTTCGCTGAAAACGCCTTTGTTGAGTCCTAGTCATTTCGTCGAAGGGTATTGCTCTTCCTGCAGTGTACTGGAATGAATGCCATACATTTGGCCGGCGAGGTTGCGGTCTAAAAGTCCTCCCAACATCCGTTGGTCTGAACTGCCTTTCAAAAGGCGGTCCTCTATAGAATGATGTACCTCGTCCTCTGCCAGGCTGAACGTTTTGGAAGAAAACAGGGCGACGAGGATGCTGCCATGTCTCTGGTTTCTCCGTGTTTCCATTTACTTCCCTTTTACACCTTGCACACAGGACGTTTTCGTCCTTTTTTTGTTCTTTTCCTTTGATACGTTCAAAGACATTGGGATGTGGTTTAGAATCTTCTTCTCCGTCATCTATGACTAACTTGAATTTTGGTAACTTGTTCTTGAATCCAGATGTTACCATGTTTACCCCAAGTGGCTGTGGGAAAGGATTCTCGTCCACTGCCATCTTTTTCTTATCGTCGAACGTAATTCGTCCTGACTCAATAGCATCCTGCAATACGTGACGAAAAACCAAGCAATTGTTAGTCAAATGTGACCATGCATTATGCCACTTACAATATTTTTTACCCTTTATTTGTTCAGGGTTTGGCAATTTGTGCTTATCGCTCAG